CGCCCTTCGATGGAGCTTCTTCATTCTGCAACATTTCCAAGTAAACAAAAGCTACTCATTGTAGTGACCATTTCCATATCTCTCTTCACCATTATCCCTCTTCTCTATCCTTTTTTTGAAGACCCTAACTTCTTCCTCAAGCAACAACCTCCAAACCAAACCAACACCATTCTCAAGCTCCAAAACGGCCTCGTAACAACACACGAGAGCTGCGACATATTCTCGGGACAGTGGGTACCTAACCCCGAAGCGCCTTACTACACCAACACGACATGCTGGGCAATACACGAGCACCAAAACTGCATGAAGTTTGGAAGACCCGACATGGATTTCATGCAATGGAAATGGAGACCCGACGGGTGTGAAGATGCTGTGCCGGTCTTTGACCCGTTAAGGTTTCTAGAGATGATGAGAGGGAAAACTATGGCGTTTGTTGGTGACTCTGTTAGCAGAAACCACATGCAGTCTTTGATCTGCCTTCTCTCTCAGGTAACACCTATTGTTCTTTTTCACTTCAAGAGAAAAACATAAGTCCCTCAAAAGTTTTAATTTATTTATTTTATTTGGTACTATTGCTTAACTTTGTAATTAAACTTGTAGTTTGACATATATGATTTTTTTTTCATTAACCATCTTTCAACAGTTTAAAGTTTTACGACGAATCATATTTTTAGTACTCAAGCACCATATAAAATCATATAACAACTCTTGACTTCGAAGTAACTCTCTAATCGATGAGCTTCTAACTCGAATCATTAGCTCAAAATGTATAATTTTGATTCATTTATTTATTTGCCTCAGTTTAATTATTAGTTGAAGTTACATTTTGGCTAAAGTAGTGTAAACGAAGTTAGATGTGCATGTGCATCATTACGATTATCATATACCACTATATTAAGAAGTGTATGATGTGCATCATTACTTTCATCATATACATTTACATGCTTTGAAAAAAAAAACAGCATACATGTAAAATGTATGTTAGTACCTAAATTTTATAAAACCATATAACTACTAAGTTGTTTATATTTAAATAAAAGTTGGTACGTGCATCAAGGTGATTTTGGTTCACCGGCTCCACAATTATTGATATATTATATGAAACACGAATGGGCAGTTCTCTGTCCAATGATTTTAGATGTTTTAATTAAATTAGTTTACTCTTTTCTTTTTTAATATGATATTATAAATTATGAGAATAATTATACGGACGATTATACAATAGACAATTTTAGTTTTGAAATGTGGGACTAATCCG